ACAAATCTGCCCTCCTAATTCAGAAGGTTAAGTTAGATGAAAAAATGGTAAAACATCGTAGATACTGCTGTTGTTAATACAAAAATGAGAATTACTAGACAATGTTCATGTGGTTAAAAGTTGTGTTCATTGAACCTAGAAGATTTCTCTTAATAAAAAGAAGAGTGCATTCTATATATTGTCAAGTTTCCCATGTCTTAATTTGATAGCAAAAGGTCAATAAGGTAAGGCAATAGAAAAGAATAGCACCTGATACATAGTTGAGTTTAAGAGAAGAGCAAGTTATAGAAGAACAGGCACGTTTCCATTTTTAGATGTGTTCTGTACACACAAATTATATGGAAGGATGCATACACTACATTGTAAAGTGTTTGCTCCTAGGGACCACGAATGCAGAGGGAGGAGGCACTTGCACTTTTGTTTTATATACTTACTATTTGAATTTTTACAATGAACATTAATTATTTTTTTTAATTTTTAAAAGAAAATTGATAGGTTTTTAAAAATGCAAATCAACTAAAATTAATTTTAATCCATGTTCTGTATTTTTAAGTTCTTTTTGTTAAAAGGCGCTTTTTTGGGGGGTAAAATCTCTGTACTGTTAGAATTAAAAATATATGAAATTTCAGGTAATACCATGAAATAAGTTCCGACTTCTAATTATGTGATATTCGGTACAGTTTGGAATATTGCAAAAACTTTTTAAAAATTATTATAAATTATAAAATACCATGGAGTATATTAGACAGCTTTAGCCAAATTTTGCATATATTTGAAAAAGAAAACCAAAAAAAAACTGTTTAGTCAAAAGAAACTGTTAAACATCATTTTTCCTGAAACCATGCATTTAGTTCTGCAGTCAGTAACCTGCTTATTGCCAGGAGAGGAGACCTGGTAGCCCGATCAGCCTGTTCATAAGGTATTTTGCACATAGTCAAGCCTCACCTTGAAAAACAGACTGAGGAAAGTCAGTGCTACAATATGATCGGCCACTCAGGCTAGAGGAGGAGCTGGTTTCACAAAAATTCAACTCAGACTTCTAGAAGTCTTAAGCCATGAATCTCCAGAGAGACTCCATTGATTTGAGCGATGTTGCAAAAGGAATAAACGCTAGTATCAGACCTTTAAGAGACACTGAGTTTGGGAAATTTAATCTACCTTTTAGGTAATGACAATATGCTTCAGAATACAAAGGGTACAGAAAAGCCAAGTCATTCAAGTAAAACACCAGCAAAAGTTCCTCAGGGGAAAAAAAAGGCTGCTTATGCTTTTTTATAGCTCTAGAGTCTGGGAAAAAAATTTTAATTGCTTTTTAAAATGCCTACTAGCCCTTAATCATACGAAAAGCTGCTCAATCTCACTTTTAATTAAAAAATTTTAATTACATCAGAAAATTAATGCAAATGGAAACCATATTGAGATACCAATTTTCATCTGTCAGATTGGTAAAAATTTAAAAGTAGACATTGCTCACTGTTGACAAGACTTTGGAAAACAAGAATTCTAATCCATTACTGGTGAGAGTCCAAAATGATTTAACCTCTCCAGAGGGCAGTTTGGCAACATCTGTCAGATTGCAAGTGCATTTTCTCTCCAATGCAGCAATCTCAATTTTAAGAACTTAATTCCACACGGATGTGTCATTTCATGTGTGTGCAATGCAGGTAAATTTATAAGCCTCTTTATTACAGAATTGTTTGTAACAGAATTTCAGAAACAACCAGGAGCCACCTAAAAATGATTTGTTAAAAAACAAAACAAAACCTTGGTGTATCCACACAGGGGAATACTATGTAGATATTTAAAGAAAAATTAAAAGAAGAGAAAGTTCCCCACATATTGATAGAGGAAAATCTCTAGGCTATATTGTAAAAGGGGGGAAGGGAGTACGGAGCTGTGCATTTAATACTCTACCTTTTATATAAGAAATGGTGAGAAATTACATATGCTTATATATTCCAGAAGGCTATAAAGAAACTAATAAGAGTTGGTTATTTAAAGAAAATGGGGTGGAGTGTGGTACTAGATGGGAGTGAGACTTCTCAACGTGTACCTTTTTTACATACTGCTGATTTTTGAATATATGACCCATTCCAAAAAATTTTTTTTTAATTTTAAGAAAATATTTCTAAAGAGAGGTCATTTGTTTTCAGATTTTTGAAAGATATGTGCAAAGAATGTATCAGAGCAAGAACATAAAGATAAATTGATTGGATTAATTTTCCTAGTGTATGAAATATAAACACAAAAGCAAGTCTTTGTTCCTTATTCCCTCCCTTTCACTTTCGATGCTCAAAATGAAGGTTAACATAAAGATAAATTGATTGGATTAATTTTCCTAGTGTATGAAATATAGTGTCTCAGGTATCTCTTTGTGAGTAAGCCCTGTCTATGTCATCTGGTTGTCCAAAAGGACACATCAGCCCACCACAGCCGCATGCTGGACAGAGGCTAGTGGAGAAGCTAGCATGGCCGCCCTGTCTCCTGCCTTCCCATTCCCTGCACTGCCTGAAGCTTCAGGACAGGATGGCTGTGGGGTGCTGTGAGACAGAATTCATGACCCAGAACATACATTCCAGTATTCATCTGCTTCTTGTGCTTTTAATTGCCTTACCATCTCAAAGATTTTGCAGTGTAAATGGTCTTGCTTTTTAAAAAAAACTTTATTGTGTAAGTTTTCAAAATAACAAAAGCAGAAGAGTATAATAAACTCCCATGGACCTATCATTCCAGCTTCAATAATTAAAAATAATATTGCCTTCTTTTTTACAACTATCCCTCTTACGTTCTTCCACTCTCTGAATATTTTAAAGCAAACTTTAAGTCATATTATTTCACCCGTAAATACTTGTTATATATCTCTATTAAGACCAAAAATGACATTATAGACCACAGCACCTTATCTTGACATTTCATTATGTATCCTGTTTTTTTTTTTAGAAAGATTAATAGAAACTTCTATATTCTCTGCCTTTCCTGCTTCACTGGGTTAATTTCTAGTCAGCATACAAAAAAGGTTGAGTATCTCCTATCTTTAAAAACATGTGAGACCTCCTTTATCCTTAATTATATTCCCCTCCAACTACTTTTCTCTTCCCTATACTTTTCAAAAAATTATCTATATCTATTTCCTTAACTTTAACTTCTCAGCCAGTTCCAATCTAACTCCTCCCATCCTCATCACTCCGCTAAAACTTTTCGATAAGGTCACCAGTGACTACACGTTAAATAAATTCGAAAAATGGGCACTATAGTTTTCATCTTACTTGACCTCAGCAGTCTTCAACACAGGTGACCTCTCCTTCCTAATACAGTGAACATTGAGTACTTACCAGTGTTTGACTCTTCATGTGAATTCTCATTTTATTCTTTAACAGCTCTTTGAAGTAGGTGTTATCATTTACCCTCATTTTACTCATGAAGAGTTGAAGCTTAGAGAGGTTAAGTAACTAGTCCCAGCTACTAGTAACAGGTAGATCAGGAGTTTAAATTCAGATACCATTCAGTCCTGCTGCTTCTTTGAAACACTCATCACTCACCCTGCTACCCTGGGTTTTCTTCTTCTTTCTGTTTCATTTTGGTTTTCTTTGCAGCTTCTCCTTCTACCTGATCTTTAAATTTTGGAGGTTTCTTAGGCTTTTATCCTGGGTCCTCTTCTTACTGCTGCTAGGAAGTACCACATAGAAGGTGATGAGCTCCCAATATATATAACAGGTTAGAGCTGCTTCCCGTCTCTAGACCGAGATAGCCAAAGTCTCAACACATCCAAAACCTGGCTCCTCCTATGTTGCCTTTTTTGCTAAATGGTTCAGCCGTCCACTAGCTGCTCAGCAGAAACCTGGGAATCCTCCCCTAGCTCCCATAAACAATCACCAAGTCCGAGTTATTGTGTGTCTCATTCATCTGCCTCCTTAAGAAAAGCACCCCTACTCCCAATTCTTGGATAAGATCACCTATCATATATTCTCATACTTGTCTTTCTCCCCTTTATAACATTTTCCATGATTATATTCACTTGCTTATGTTGACTTTTTGCTTTTTAATTCCTTTAGAATGAAATTAATTTTTTTATTCATTTAGAAAAGACATTCAGAGAGAGACCAAGACAGTCTTATTTGTTATTATGTCCCCAGTGGCTAGCAGTGTCTGGCACGGAGGCATCATTAAATATTTGCTGAAATGAAAAAAGGAAATTTAGGAAAATCCTAACAAATAAGAATGGATAGCATGGAGGGTGAACTCCCAGAGAGACACTTGCCAAGAAGATTTCTGGTAGTTGAGCCACAGAAGAGAGCTAAGGAATTGGAGTAGGATTAAGAGAAGTAGGGGAGTCGGGGATGTGGAAATTATAGGACTCGCTGTCCTCATGTGGGAAGTGAGAGAAGGGGGGTGTCAGGAATGCAAGACATTTCTAGCTTTGACAACTGAGAGGATCATGTACCGTTCCTTGAGAAGATCTGATATGAAGGGAAGAATAATAACTTTAGTTTTAGACCTGTTGACTTTGAAGAATTTCCTGTAAGACATCCAGATGGAAAGAACCAATAGGAAGTTATAAAAATGGAAATGGAATTCAGGAGAGAGATACAGGCTTTATCTCATCACTGACTAAAACCAGTAAAATACTATTGGTAATTCAAGTGTAAACTGATAAAAGTTTGATCACAGACTTTTTATCATTGGTTGATAGAACTGGTAGATATTTTCTTTTTAAATTGGGAGTATGTTATAAGCACCTATTGTATATCATACACAGATGGGGTTTTTACATTGATATCATTTAACATCCCGTGAATGTTAACTAATAATAGCTATGAACATATTCTTTATCTTAAACCAGCAAATCTCATTTTAATTGTTATTTCGTTAATGTTAATTTATACCTTTTTTCTTATTAAGATAAAATCAGAGCTGTGGGGTTTGTAGATCTTCATTGAATTGTAAACTCCATGAGGAATTGCTGCCATGTGATTTAATTTTTTTCCCCCCTTTATTTCTCTAGGGCCTATTCCCTGGTGGATTCCAGTCAAGTGTCTACATTTCTGATTTCCATTCTACTTATAGTCTATGGTAGTTTCAGGTAAGATGCTCTCAAAGTGGTATTCATTTCAGTTGGAGGTGGAAGAAACACTACTTGGAAAGTGTTAGCACCAAAACTTATTGCTCTGTGAAGAGAAACCTGACTTTGACAGGAATTGAGTTTGAATGGGATAATTCTGATATTTATTTTCTTTAATTTGGCTGCTGTTCAAATACTTCTTGGTTTTACTTATGACTTTGGCATTTTATTACAAACATGCAAACACAAAATTGCTTAAATTCTGGTTCTAAAAATAATGTCTCACATAAGCACACTCTTTGGGAACGTTAGTGAGAGAATCCTTGATAGTGATTTTGCAGTCTCACAGGGAACAAAAAGTTTTTCTTACTACAGGGGCATTGACATAGGTTGAGTCATATGTAGCTGCCTATAGTTGATGTTTTTGACCTATAGAAATAATTTTTTATGGTTCAACCTACTATCATTAGAATCGTAGACATTAGCATTTACCAAGTATTTTCTCTGCTGACATTGGGAATACTGAGAATGGATCCTCTTGAGTTTCCATCCTAGCAGGCAGCCATAGGAATAGGAAGGAAAATTAGGAAACAGATTGTTCACTCCCTTCTTTTTTGCTACCTGTTCTTGAAAGGAACTGTAGTTTTGTGGCTGATACACTTACAAATGAAAGCCACATGAGAAATTTTAAATTGAGAACTTGAAATGATGGTCATAAATGGAAGTTAGGCATACAGATTTTGAACTATCCAGTAAATTATGTCTGGATTTTAATGGGTACTTGGTAAAATCACAGACTTTCAGGCTTTATCTCAATACTGAGTAGAAGAACAAATAAAATACTATTGGTAATTCCAATATCAACTGATAAAAATTTTAATCATTAAGACTTATTGAGAGCTCTAAGTTCATAATGATTCTTAGGACACATTAATCAAGCCAGAGCACCTTAGAACCTTATCAGTATAATCTTGATATTTTGTATCTGTATCTTTTGGAAAAGTTTCTAATTTTTTCTGTTTGTGTATATAATATGTCAGCATTTCAAAAGACCTGGTAATTTTTTAAGAACTTTAAAAAATTCTTAATACTATACAGTAAGTCCTCATTTAACATCATCAATAAATTCTGCAAAACCAGTTTTACCATAGGCTAATTGATGAACAAGAATTAAGTTCCTACAGCATCTCATCAAAGTTATAACTAAATGTTATTTGAGGACCTGCTGTACTTTCATTAGTACATAGAACTTTTTGTCTTGGCATATACTTATATATTGTGTACATTTTCATAGTTTAAATCATTTATATTTTGATTATTTTCACCTAACAAAAATATTTTCCACATCATTTTTGTACTTATTTTTAGTAATTTGATATTCCTTTGTGTTACTATCTTATTCCACTCTTGTTGGACATGTGGGTTGTTAAAGTGACCATCTTTTTATGTGTTCTTTTGTTTTACTTGAATTATATCCTTAGGTTAAATATTCAAAACTTGAAATGCTTCACCAGAGAGTATGAACTGGCTTTTAACTACATGTTGCCATATTGTTTTACAGAAGGGTTATACCAATTTAGCGTCAGGCAGGTATTAAACAAAATTTTATGTTATAAATGTACCACAGAATTATATCAATGGAAAAGATTACTCTGGTGAACTTCCTTATTTTACAAATGAGGAAACTAAAGCCTAAGATGAGATAACTTGACAAAGATCACATGACTCATTGGTAATAAAGTCTGGATTGGAACCCAGTTTTCAAGACTTCTTATTCAGTGCATTATGTCTTTTATACTTTAATAAACACATTTTTCTGTAAAAAGTAAATCATGATGCCTTTAATTATACACTTAAATTGCCCTCTTTAAACACATTTGGAAGTGTTTCCTCCTCTCTGTTTTTTGGAAAAGATTATGTGAAATTGTGGTTATTTCTTTAACTGTATGCTAGAACTCACCAGTGAAGCCATCTAAAGTCGGGCTTTTCTTTGTGGGAAGATTTTTTTTGTTGTTTTTTTCCTGCTTTGTTCATTACTTTTTTTTGAGTACTGGTGAGGGCTTTTTTTGTATGTGGTAAAATATGCATGACATAATATTTACCATTTTAACCAATTTTTTAATTAAATTTATTGGGGTAACATTGGTTAATACAATTATATAGTTTCCAGATGTACATTGTAAGTTGACATCTGTATATTCTTTTGTGTGTTTACCACCCAAAGTCCAGTTTCCTTCAGCTACCATATATTTAATCCCCTTTACCCAGTTCACCCTTCTCCTACCCCCTTATATTTGAGCCCCTTTACCCTGTCTACCTCCCCACTTCCCCACTCCCTACCCTCTGGTAACCACTAGTCTATAGTCCATGTCCATGTCCATGAGTCTGTCTGTTTGTCCTGTTCCTTTGTTTCTTTTAGGTTTATATCCCACATGTAAGTGATATCATGTGATTTTCAACTTTTTCTGTCTGGCTTATTTCGCTTAGCATGTTTATCTCAAGATCCATTCATGTTGTCACAAATGGCAGTATTTCATCTCTTATAGCTGAGTAATATTCCGTTGTATATATATACGTACCACAGCTTCTTTAGCCAATCATCTATCGCAGGACACTTCAGTTGCTTCCATGTCCTGGCCACTGTGAATAATGCTGCTATGAACATTGGTGTACAAATATCTTTACAGATATAAGTTTTCAAGTCTTTGGGGTAAATACCCAGTAGAGGGATTGCTGGATCATATGGTAGATCAATTCTTAGTTTTTTGAGGAACCTCCATACTGTTTTCCATAGTGGCTGTACCAGTTTGCTCCCACCAGCAATGTATGAGGGTTCCTTTTTCTCTGCATCCTCTCCAACATTTGTTCTTACTTTTCTTGTTGATTATAGCTATTCTAACAGCCGTGAGACAGTATCTCATTGTGGTTTTGATTTACATTTCCCTATTAGCTAGCGATGTTGAGCATCTTTTCATATATTTCTTGGCCATTTGTATGTCCTCTAGGGAGAAGTGTCTGTTCAGGTCCTCTGCCCATTTTTTGATTGGATCAGTTGTTTTATTTGTTATTGAGTCATATGAGTTCTTTTAACCATTTTTAAGCATACAGTTTAGTAGCAGGGAAGAACTTTTTTAAACACATTATTTTCTGTCTTTTTATTATAGCCATTCTAGTATTAAGACGTGAACTATCTCATGGCTTTTATTGCATTTTCCCTGTAACTGGGGTTAGTATGTTGAAAAGATAATTGAACATCTTTTTATGTGCTTATTGGCCATGCGAATTTTCTTCTTTGGTGAAATATCCACTCAGATTTTTGCCCAATTTCAAATTGGGATGTTTGTCCTATACAAAGTTGTAACAGTTCTTCAGATATTCTAGATACAGGTTCTCTCAATCATGTGATTTGTAAACATTGTTTTGGGTTTTTTCTCTCCTGCTTGCTTGACCACTTTTACTCTCCACCTCCACACACTTTTTAAGTATTGGTAGGGTTTTTTTTTTTAACTTTTTAAGTATTGGTAGGGTTTTTTTTTTTTTTTATGGATGTGTATACCATCAAGTTCTCCTATGTAAAGTGTACAATTCAGTGGTTTTAGTAAACTTACTAAGTTGTGTAACCGTCACCGTAATCCAGGTTTAGAACATTTTCATCATCCCAAAAGAAATCTTGTACCCATTAGCAGTCATTCCCCTTCCCTCTCTCTCATCTTAGGTAAACACTACTTTTTAACTTTCTCTATAGATTCACCTATTCTGGACATTTCATATAAGTGGAATCATACAACATGTGACCTTTTGTGACTGGCATCTTCCACTTAGCATTTTTTTTAAGTTTATATTATAGCGTGTGTCAGTATTTTTCTTTTTTATTTTAATTTTTATTTATTATGGTGACATTGGTTAATGAAATCCAATAAGTTTGAGCTGTACATTTTAACAGTTAGGCATATATATATATATATTTACACTGTGTATTTACCTCCCATAGTTTGTTTTCTTTCTGTCACCACATATTTGACCTCTTCTACCTCACCCCTACCCCCTACTCTCTGATAATCACTAGTCTATTTATTTTATTTCTTTGCATCACCAAATAATACTCTTTTGTTTATCCATGCATCATTTGATAGACATTTAGATGGTTTCCACATTTTGGCTGCTGTGAACCTTCATGTACAAGTTTTTATGTGGACATAAGTTTTCATATCCCTTGGGTAGTTACCTAAGAATGGAATTACTGGCTCATAAGGTAACTAACTCTGTGTTTAACATTTTGAGGAACTGCCACTGTTTTTCAAAGCAGCTGCAGCATTTTACATTCCTACCAGCAATGTATGAGAATTTCAGTTTCTGTTGTTATTATCTGTCTTTTATATTATAGCTATTCTACTATTCTGATGAGTGATATCTTGTGGTTTTGATTTGCATTTCCTCAAATGACTAATGATGTTGAGCATCTTTTCTTGTGCTTATTTTACCACCTGTGTGACTTCTTCAGTGAAGTGTCTGTTCACATCTTTTGCTCATTTTAAAATTAGGTTGTCTTTTTATTGTTGACTTTTGAGAGTTCTCTATATATTGTGGATACAAGTTCTTTATCAGATAAATGCTCGCAAAGAGCTTCTCTCAGCCTGTGGATTTGTCTTTTCACTTTATGTATGTTTATAACTTATATTTTCCTGATGGATTGACTGAGATAAAATATCTTTGGTAACAATTTTTGTCTTAAAAGTCTGATGTAGCCATTCTAGCTCTCTTATGGTTGCATGTGGGACAATTTTTAATAACTACTTCTATTTCTTCTTATAGTCTATTTGGATATTCTATTTCTTCTTGAATCAGTTTCAGTAATTTGTGTCTTTCTGGGATTTGTCCATTTCTTCTCAGTTGTCTCATTTGTTGGCATCAGTTTGTTCATACTGTTCCCTTATAATCCATTTAATTTCTATCGGTCAGTAGTGATGGTCCTTCTTACATTTTTTTATTTTAGTCTTTGTGTCTTCTGCCCCACCCTCCAGGGTCAGTCTAGCTAAAGGTTTATCAATTTTGTTGATCTTTTCAAAGAACTAACTTTCGGTTTCATTGATTTTTTTCTTTTTTCTGTTTTCATTGATCTCCACTCCAATCTTTATTATTTCCTTCCTTCTGCTTGCTTTGGGTTTAGTTTATGCTGCTTTTTTCTAGTTCCTTAAGGTGGAAGCTCAATATTTTTATTTCACTCAAGATATTTTCTAAATTCCCTGGTGATTTTTTTCTTTGACCCTTGGGTTTTTTGTTTGTTTTAATTTTTATAAGAGTTGATTTGAGCCAAACTGACAACATATACCAGCGAGCAAGATCTCAAATGCTCCAACCCGTGGGTTCTAAGCGCGTTGCTTACTTTCCTAATATTTGGGGATATTTCAGAATTCTCTCTTGTTGAAAGGAATTTCAACAACCTAATTCAATTCCATTGTGGTCAGAGACATAACTTTTTATGATTCCAATCCTTTTAAATTTGTCGAGACTTGTTTTATAGCCTAGCGTATGATCAATCCTGGAGAATGTTCATGTGCAGTTGGAAAAATCAACCTTCAATAGAGAATCGAGAACAGGGAGTGATATGATTTGGTTTGTGTTTTAGAAAGATTGTTCTGGGATCTTATGGGAAATAGATCGTTGGGTATGAGGGAAAAGTAGAATAGGGAAACCTGGGAAACTTTTACCCTAGTACAGGCAAGAAACGAAGATGGCTTTAACTAGAGAGGCTAATAGTGTGGAGTGAGGTATCAGTGGATTTAGGACAAGATTGCTGATGGAATGGATATAGTGTGTGAGAGAGGGGAGTCAAGCTTACTGGCCTAAACACCTGGATCCAATGTTGGTGCTATTTTTGAAATGGAAAACTCTGTAAGAGAAGCCGATCATAAAATACAGGATAAAAGATTTGTAAAGTGAACTGGTTATTTCTAACCAGGTTTTCACATTTCTAAGTACAGAGGGGAAAACTATACCAAATAAAACTAGATTCTAAAAGCCAAAATAAATCCTTGATTTAGGAGCCCTTATGTTTGCCATCCCTTAGCTGAGCGTTGCTACACTTCCTATATTACTTAAAGCCAACACCTGTCTCTCTTTAATCTTTCCAGCTGCTCAGAAAAAATAGCATAATTACTCATCTAAACAGTATGTCCCCCAAAGAATTGGACAGACCTACAGGAAAGCATTGAGGGAGGGAGAGAACACTAATTGGAGGGAGAAATGAAAGCCATAAAAAGGGGCTGTCCTGATGAGCAAATAGACCCAGGAATTACAATGTGAGGCTGCTTTAGAATTTCTTAGGCAGCTTATTACTGGCAAAACACTTGAGTTCAGGAGAGAGGGAATGGCTGTATGTGCCGTTAACATACACAGCTGAAAGTACACTGGGCCTTAAGAATGTTTGAAGCATTGAACAAAAATGAATTGCTAGATGATGGGAATGTGACAGCGACAGGGTCATCAATTTCTTCTGATGAGGCTTGAGAATAGCTGGTTTCTACTATGTGTCACTTTTGCACCATTGTAAAGTTGAAAACTTGTAAGTCAAACCATCATAAAGTCGGGAACCATCTGTATACAACTTTTGTCAAAAATAAACTTAAAGATAATTTTTAGGTTGTGGTATAGGGAGATAGATTCCCTGAGTCGAGGAGTTGGAGCTGAGGGTCCAGAGAGATTGAGGCAACTAGAGTTAATAAATCAGAATATGAAAGAGAAGAGAGCTTACAAAGAGAGAAACCCCAGAGATTTGCAGATGGGCCCTTTGAGCGTTCATCAGCGTTGATCAGTGCACACATGTGAGGAGATTAACCTAAGGCTGAGGAAAGAATGTGAAAAGAATAGAGGGAAAAGTACCTGTTCCCACTAGCCGGATTGGAAAAACCTTATGATTCATGTGGCATTGGGTAGGGTACTCAGAAAGGTCCTGCCTCAGTGGCAGAGAAAAATTACCATGCACTGAACACTGCTTCAGACCTGCCTAATAAATCATAAAAGTAAGCCCTGAACAAATTAAACTATTTCCAGGTAACAGCATCCCAGAACAAAGCTCAAGAAGATTTATAGGACTATAAAAATATCAAGCAGCTAATAAGACTATAAAAATATTGAGACAGGTAAAACTCATAATGTCTGGCATACCAGCAAAGATTACCAGGTAGCCAAGAGGAAGAAAAACTTAACCAGTGATGAGAATAATCAATCAAAACCAACGCAGAGCTGACACAGGTGTTAAAATTAGCAGAGCAGTACATCAGAACAGATACTATAATTGTATTGCAAATATATAAAAAGTTAGGTAGATATTTTAAACTACCAAATCAAACTTCTGGAGATGAAAACAATAATGTCTGAGATCAAAAATACACTGGATGGGATTAACAGCAGTTAGACATTGCAGAAAAGAGATTTATGAACTTGAAGGCACAATAGAAATGATCCAAAATGAAATAGAGAAAATTTTTAATGAAAGAGTACCATTGAACTATCATTGGACATCAAACAGTAATGTCCAGTGGCCTAATTTATGCGTAATTGGAGTCACTGAAAGAGAGAAGGGAGGAGAGAAAAATACTTGAAGAAAGAATGGCCAAAATTTTTCCATATGTGAAGAAATCTATAAACCACAGATCTAAGAGGCTCTATAATCTCCAGGCACAAGAAACATGAAGAAAACTACTCCAAGGGACATCATCAGAGAGGTGATATTACTAGAGTCTACAGATTTTAAAAGGATAATAAGGGACTGCTGTGAACAACTTTATGCCAGTAAATTTGATGACTTGGATGAAATGGACAAATTCTTTGAGAGACACAGTCAGCCAAAGCTCACTCAGAAATAGATAAACTGAATAGCTAGAAAATTGAAAATTGCTAGACTGTTTTCCAAAGTGGCTGTACCAGTTTACATTCCCACCAGCAGTGTATGAAGGTTCCAATTTTCCATCCTTGCTATCACTTGGCTATCTGGCTTTTTGATTGTAGCCACCCTAGTGGGTGTGAAGTGGTATCTCATGGTGGTTTTGATTTGTATTTTCCTGATATTAAGAATTTTTTCACTTTTTTATTGATCATTTGCATATCTACTTTGGAGAAATATTCAGATCCTTTGCCTGTTTTTTAATCGGGTTGTCTTTTTATCATGGAGTTGTAAGATATCTTTATATATTCTAGATACAAGATCCTTATCAGGTATATGAGTAATATTATTTTCCCCCATAAGAACCTACTGCCCGGTCCAGGGTCACAAAGATTTACCCTTAAGTTTTCATCTAAGAGTTTTATAGTTTTAGCTCTCAAATTATTTACATTTAAATAAATTAATTAAAATTAAGTAATACATAGAGTTCATTTCAAGTGTTCACGTGGCTAGTGTCTGTCATATTGGCCAGTGCAGATACAGAACATTTCCATCATCACAGGAAGTTCTTTCGGACACACACACACAAAAACCCCTTCTTTAAAGGAACATAGAATAAGGGCCGTGGACTTGAACAAAGAAATAAATAAGTGAGAAATTCATGTACACAAAATTATTCAAAGTTAAGGAATTCTGCTTTGGAACAGAGATAGCATTTTTAGTCTCTCATATTGACAATGACTTCTTCCTTAGGTCTTGACTCAGAAGTCATAGCAGTGAGGCCTTCCCTGCCCACCTCATTGAAAATTTCAAACCTAACCTCTCCATTCTCTGCCTTTTCCCCTTATCTCTTACCTTTGATATACCATATATTTAACTGTTCTTGTTTATCGTCAGTCTCTCTACTCTTTCAATGTAAAATCCACGAGAGCCTAGCCTGCTACACTCACTATGTCCCTCCAGTACCTAGGACAGCCTCAGATATAGTGGAAACTCAAATGTTGTCGAATGAAAGGTGACAAGGTATAGAAAAACAAGTACCCTCATGCACTGCTAGCAGAGTAAACTGGTCTAACCATTTTGGAAGCACTTGTGTCATATGTAAAAGTCTCAAAATTGCACTTGCTCTTTGACCCAGCATTTCTCCTCCCAGGTATTTATCACATAAGGAAGTAGTTAAGAATGTGCTAGAAGATTCAGCCACAGTGGAATGTTTTTATTTGCAGTCAGGAAAACTCTTGAACTCTGACATATTGGAAGGAATGTAGACTGATTTTTAAAATGTGGCAAGAACTATTTTTGTTGAGTTGTTCAAAAGAGATCTTTCCTGGTGCCTTAGGATTTAAAATATTCTTTTGTTACTGGCTTTTCTTTGTTAAGCAAAACTAAAGCTTATCTGTGCAATTTTTTTCCACAGGTCCCTTAATATGGACTTTGAAAATCAAGATAAGGAGAAAGACAATAACAATTCTTCTGGGTCTTTCAATGGCAACAGCACCAATAATAGTAAGGAACTTTACGTCAGTTAACTTTCATACGTGTAGCTGTTTTGATTCTTTCTATAGCTCCAGTTAATTCTCTGGGTTCAAGATTTATCTTTGGTATAATAAAATCTAATCTGTTTGGTATGATTTGTTAAGATTCTTAAGTTTTGAATCTGAACTGATTTCTTGCTTTTAACTCATGCCTAAAGGCTTGCTGCTGAGTTTCTTTATCTTAAATATAAGCAGATTAGTATCACTGTTTATGAATTCATTAAAAACTTTGGTGAGGCTGATAATTTTTTAGGTATTGATTATAAATTCACTTGGTGACTCTTAAAGATTTAATCTACTTGAAGTACTTGTAAAACTAAGCATTGTGAATATCTCTTCTGACATTTAAGATTGTATAAGAATACTTGTTTTAAAAAATTGAAGAAGTGTACTCTAAGGCAAATGTTCAGCAACATTATTCATAATATCCAAAAAGTAGAAATAACTAAAAGATCCATAAGCTCTTGGATAAACAAAGCCTGGTCTTTCCATACAATGGAATGTTATTCAGCATTAAAAAGAATGAAGTACATGCTACAACATGGATGAACCTGAAAACATTGTGTTAAGAAGTCAGACAGGAAAGACTACATATTGTGTGAATTCATTCATATGAAATTTTCAAAAAAGCAAATACATAGAAATAGAAAGTAAACTAATGGTTGCCTGGGCCTAGGGATGGAAAGAAGAATTAACTGTAAACTAGCATCGGGGAATCTTCTTGAGGTGATGAAAATGCTCTAAAACTAGATTATGGTGATGGTTTCACACTTGCTAAATTTACCTCACCCCTCCCCCCCAAAAAAAGAGGAAAAAGTTACTGAATTATAGACTTAAAATGGGTAAATTTTATCAATTGTATCTCAATAGTTATAGAAAATTGGTGATGCTTATTATAAAAAGAGAATCAAATTAGAAATAAGGAAAGTTGATTTGTTAATATTAAGAGATTGATAATTGTTACCTACCATGCACTCGGTATTCTATTAGCTATTTTGAAAGATGCAAAAGTATAAGAGCTGGTTCCCAAGCTGTCATGTGGGTTCTGTGGCCAAAATACTTTCCAAGGTGCTCATAAAGTGCTAAGACTGATAGCATATACTCCTTCCCATCCTATACCTAGAGCAGATACTTTTTCTCATGGACTCTTACCATAGCCTCAGAATTTTGAACAAGCATCTGCTATCAGTGGGTCAGGGTAAGCACTAGAGATGAAGTCATTTTGACATCAGTGTACAAAGAGTAAAGAGAAAGGCAAGTCAGGATGAGCAACAGTGGGTCAAGTTAGAAAGGGACTCTTTCTTAGAGAAGGTGCGTTTGACTTGAAACTTGACAGTGGAATTGATGAAGAAATCATCATTTCAGGTGGGAAGAACATATAATAAAAGGCACAGAGGGAAGGATGAGCATGACTTATAGGACAGGTTAAAGTCACCACCTAAAAGGGATGAAATTTTAGGGAGCTAATATAAAATTATATAGCATATCCATGGAGGATCTTGGAAGTTACATTGGAGATCACTAAATATCTATTTCAGTTTCTCTAGGTACTATAATATCTTACCAATCAAATTATACTTGCCCAGTTTTCACCCAGTGAAATGTTTCATTGTCCCCAGCAGTATAAAGTGGGTATGATACATACAGTAAGTAAAAATCACTTAAATAAGTCTTTTCTTAAACTTATGACATAGATCCTTATATGAGATAAAATACCATACCAGTAACTTACTAGGAACCAGGTAAAACCCAGTGTCAGTATCTGATTTTCAGGTTAAATTATTACATAGCAACTTACCATCTATCAGCATTTTAAGCCAAATCACTTTATACTCTTGAAACTCCTTTAAAAATCCTCTGTTATATAGCATATATGCAAACGATGTACTTAAACCACATTATAAATCTGTCATACATTGCATTACAGAAACCTAAGAGAAATTGATAGTGTGTGTCTAAGTACAGTTTTATCCTCAAATAAATAAATGGTTAAGTCAGTCCATATAGTAGAAGGAAGTTACCTGGTAACATAAGTTTTTTAATTTCTCGTTATTAATCAGCATCTAAAGAATAGTAGATGGTTGTTTAAATGGTCATTTTCTTGAATCTACTTCCTGTATTGTACTAAATTATCCTCAACAAATAATTTCTTCAGTGCCCAATCTGGGCTGTGGATACCAAAGGGGTAAGTAAGCACAGATGAGGATGGAACACATCCACACCCACATAATCAGGAACATAATGAAAGAATTGGCCATTGCAGAGGTGGCCAGTACTTGATTATGGAATATGAGCCATTCCAGATTGAAGAGATGGCATGGCAAATGGGATGCATTTATCAAAAGTCAAAGAAATAATAGCCTGAAAGGTGAACAGAGAAATGCAAGAGACTGTGTAGATGCTAGAGAGATTGAAGTCCTAAATGGTCAACAATGTTGAAGAATTGGGGGGAAAGCTCTAAGAAAAGGAAGTTATGAATTTAGTGTTAAGGTTTTGACAAGAGTGTCCTGAACTGATGAAGGAAAAAGTGAATAGTAGATTTCTTAAAGGTTGCAATTGCCTACTCCCAGAATAAATAAGAATCAAGGAATTTGTGGAAAAGACATGAAAATGAGTGAACTAAAGCTATGCATAACCAAGAGCATGGGTGTTTCTCACAATATTGAGCAAAAAAAAGCCAGACAAAATGCATGCTATGTAGCTCAATTTATATCATAAGTTTCAAAAACAAAGTAAATACTTATTAATATTTTAAGGTGCATGCTTGGGTAGAAAACATATAAAGTAAAGCAAAGAAGAAAGTATACTAAAAGGCAGACAGTCGTTCCCTTTGCGGGAAGGAGAGTAGCGACTAAGAGGGGCCCAAGAAAGACTTCCGTTCTGTTTCTTGACTGGGTGGTATTGTCTATGTGATTCACTGAGCTCTACATTTTTGTTTCATGTGCTTTCCTGAATGTGTGACATTTTACAATAAAAAGAGTTAGAAAGAAAGTGGGAGTGGGGGAGTTCCCTCAAGGTCTTCTCTCATTTTCTCTAATCTTGTTCTAACTCCTGTCTCATCATTTCATCTGCCTCAAGAAGCCTATATATAGAGATTCCCTGCCCAGCACGTCAGTCTTTATTTATTAGTATTAAGTGGGTTTTAAAAAAGCCCTTACCCCTCTTATCTGACTTTTTGAAGTTCTTATCTGAGGTTTCCTATATAATTTATTTGAATTACACAGATTGATGGTAATGAACAGTTGAAATTCTCTTCATTAATAGAGATATGCATCTTAATCTCTCCACCTTGTCTCTAAACTGTGAGATCTGGCAGTGATTTTTTTTTTAATCCCTCACATTGCCTATTGTATAATAGATGTTCAGTAAATATTTGTTTAAAAGCAAGCTTCTCTCCTGGAGTTATAAAATTAGTAATTTTCATAACGATTATCAAGGATATATTGGTGTATTGCTCAATGTCTCTTTCATAACCAGATACTTAGTTAGCCTGTAGCCCTGTTCACTGAATGCTAAAAATAATGTCTCTACATAATTTTTAATTCAGTCATCATGCCTATTTCTTATGTTAATTTGGCTTTAAAGATAGTGCAACTGCACATAAGTCTTCTCAGTTAGAGCTGTTCTGTTTTGTTTTGAAGTCACTGGATTTTGGCTAAAATTTCTAATTAGCTCCTTCCCTTCAGGACCACTTTCTGCAGACCTTCAGGAAGTGCAGTATTGAAGTACATTCTGTTCTAGGTAGCACATTGTCAGCAACTAAAGGAAATCTAACTTGCCCTGTGACATTGCCGTTTGGTACGCTATCTTGGGCATCTTTCTATAAAACTAATGGAAGGAACTATGGGCAGTGAACACACATGCAATATATATAATATGACTTACTGTTCAGTTGTACACTTGGAACTTAGTGGATTTTGTTAATCAGTGTCACCATAATTAAAAAAAAATAATGGAAGGAGAGTCTAATACTTCTTTGTTTAAATAAAACCTGTGCTTTCAAAAAACAAGTTTTGTGCATTCTAATATTCTAGAATTGTTCTTTGTATTCGGTTTTGCATTTCAATTGCAGAATGAATTTTTAAAATTTAGATTTATTATAAACAAATACCTCTCAGGCCTAACTTACTAAACAGTCTTTGTTCTAACGAGCCATTTAATTTTTCTGTTTATATTTTAAACCAATATAATCTGTAGACTATATGATGCTTTCTCTGACAGAAGAGTGGGATTGTTTTAAGATTTATAGACTTTTTAAAAGATTTTTCTTACCACATAACAATCATTTGAGAAACTGTTATTTTCTGTTGTGAAGGGCACCTGAAATTCTGTAGTTTTCTCTAGTTCTTCCTTGAACTATTGTTATAGAGCCGTCGATTAAAAAACAAAACAGAGCTCTTTAGATGAAATTTAGTTAGAGATTTCAGAGTGTTTTGTTTTATAAATGTCCGTAAGACACTTTTAAGATACACTCCCCTAAAATGATCCATGCCACCAAGCCAAATGGGTTTGACTGCAACTCAGGATAGACCTCTTCTCCAGATCATATATCTTGACACATAGATCATTGTTCCTAAATTGTATTGCCCTATGCCTAAGTGAATTATTTGACTCATCTACCTAGCCAATAAGAAGCAATTTTGTTTTGTAGAAATAGTTAATATTTTATTTCACCAAAATCTCTAGCTTTCTTGGGGACAGGTAGATTTAAATACCAAAGAGTAATTCTTAAATGTTGGTTGATGATTGCAACACTTTGTGTCTAGTTATGTTCATTCTGGTTGCATAATATTCATAGCCTTAAGTTAATGAAGAGACTTTTACTACTAATATTTATTTCTTGTAGGTTATATGCACACTTCTTTTTTAAATTAAATTTATTAGGGTAACATTGGTTAATAATTAAATTTGAAGAGTACAATTCTATAATACATCACCCGTATGTTGCATTGTGTGCTCACCACCCAAGGTCTAGTCTCTTTCCATCACCATGTATTTTACCCCCTTTATTCTCTTCATCTTCTCTCCATCCCCCTTCCCTTCTGGTAACCACCATATTGTCGTTTATGTCTGAATTCGTTGGTTTTGTTTGTTCATTTGTTGCTTCTTGTTTTATATCCCATGAGTGAAATCATATGATTCTTATCTTTTTCTGTCTCATTTATTTTGCTTAGCATGATAATCTCAAGATCTATCCATGTTGTTACAAATGGTGATATTTCATCTTTTCTCATGGTTGAGTGGTACTCCACTGTACATATATACCACGTCTTTATCCAACTGTCCATCGAAGGACACTTCGGTTGTTTCCATGCCTTGGCTACTGTGAATAATGCTGCAGGGAACGTAGGGGTACATATATCTTTATGAATAAATATTATTCAAAATTTTCAGGTAGATACCTGGAACAGAGATTGCTAGGTCCTCTGGTAGCTCTATTCTTAATCTCTTGAGGAACCTCCATACTGTTTTCCATACTGGCTGTACATCTCCACCAGCAGTGTGTGAGGGTTCCCTTTTCTCCCCATCTTCTCCAACACTTATTTCTTGTTTTATTGATAACAGCCATTCTGACAGGTGTGAGGTGGCATTTCATTGTGGTTTTGATTTGCATTTCCCTTATAGCTAGTGAAGATGAGCATCTTTTCATATGTCTGTTGGCCATTTATATGTCTTCTTGGGGAAAGTTTAGGTCTGCCAATTTTTTAATTGAATTATTTGTTTTTATTACTGAGTTGTGTGAGTTTTTTATATATTGTGGATATTAGCCCCTTACCGTAGATATTGTTTACAAATATCTTCTCCCATTCAGTTTGTTGCCCTTTTGTTGGTTTCTTTTGCTGTCTAGTTTCATTCTTTTGCATATGACTTTCCAGTTATTCCAACATTATTAGTCAAAGAGGCTTTCCTTTCTCCACTGCATATTTTTGGCTCCTTTGTCGAAAATTAGTTACCCGTATACATATGGGTTTCTGGGCACTCAATTCTGTTCCATTGGTTTGTGTGTCAAAAGGTCCCAAATGGTCAAAGCAATCCTTAGAAAAAAGAACAAAGCCAGAGGTATCACACTCCCTGACTTCAAATTATACTACAGAGCTACAGTAATCAAAACAGTATGGTATTGGCCAAAAAATAAATAAATAAAAGACCAGTGAAAATTTCTTCTTTAGTTCCTCTCGTGCACTTAATGATCTCTCAGCAGGGTTAATTTGGAAGTAGTAGCATTCAAGACAAAATTAATTTTTTTCTTTTCATTCAGTGGTATTCAGATTCTGTCATGTTTACCTTTTCCACCAAATATTCTATTAATGTTTCTCAACACTGGATGCAAAACAAAATTTTGTGGAGAGTTTTTATCTGGGTCTGCTAACCCCCAGAGATTTCAGTTTAATTGATCTGGGGTTAGGCCTGGGCACTGTAATTTTTTTTAAGGTCCCCAGGTGATTCTTATGAGAAGCCAAGAACTGAGAACCACTGTGCTAAATCCTGTTTGTTCCTTAAAATGTTCCCATAAAATAATTTTTCTGATTTGCTGTTTTCACATGTTTTGTTCTCTTCCTCCCATCCCCAAAGTCAGCCCTCAGCAATTATTGACAGTGGGGAAAGAATGAACATGAATACATTAAATCTACAAATGAGGAGAAATTATTTTAGTCAGTGGGTTTAAACTACTACTTTTACCAAGCCTGTACACAAGACCACCAATGTACTCAAATTGACTAAATTTTTACTAACTTCAAGTGTTCTTGATTTCATTTGTTTTTAGCACCCTGTCATCCAGATGGTTAGCACCAGGAAATAGTAGTTCCATTCAACAAATATTTTTTGAGCAACTACTATAATGAAGGCATAATGAAGAGCAAGGAGCTCATAATCTCATTGAGAAGGAAAGAATCAAGAGGGCCTAGATAATCTATACCTCAGTACTAATCCCTAGAACTGTCTGCATTTTAATGAGTTAATGGCATCTAAAGTGCATGGCACAGAGCCTGTTATCTCAGTTGTTAATATGTCCCCCTTTTCTCTCTTTCAGGTATCCAAACTATTGACTCTACCCAGGCCCTGTTCCTTCCAATTGGAGCGTCTGTCTCTCTCCTAGTAATGTTCTTCTTCTTTGACTCAGTTCAAGTAGTTTTTACAATATGTACAGCAGGTAAATGAATTTCTGCCTATTCTTAACATTAACATAAAAGGAACTTTTTTCACCTCTTTTAAATCATCATTGAAAAAATAAGATTTATGCACCACGACATGCAGGTTTTTCTTCATAAGTCTGGTTTTACTTCTCCTCATCCTTTCTTTGACCTATTTGACATGTCCTCAATTCAAACCTGCCAACTTGGTCTGAACAAAAGGCCAGAGGTTTGAAAATGTGTGAGCTTTGCAACAGCAGAGCAGGATCACTTTGGCTGTGGCTCCTTGTCTAACAGGTTACCGATAGGTCTGGTTTAGCAGAGTGGTCATTGGCAGCCTCTGCCAATGTTTCTGCAGATAGAAACACTGGTAACTAGTCAAGGTAATTTAACTGTCAGCTCCCTGATCAGTTCTTAAACTAAGCAATGATGGAAATATATAACATGAAAAAATGCTAGACTCATTAGGAGATCATCTCCTGGGTGCTATTTGTCTTTTCTGATTGAGATGGAAGAGAATGAGAAAACCTACCTACTTCAAATCAAGTACTTTTTTTTTTTTTTGGAGTTATCTGTGCAATGCTAAAGGAAGATATTTTTCTTCTCTAGTTAATTTTATTGTATCCACCTGTTAACAGAAGTATTTTGGGAATGATTAAGCTTCTATAAGTCATGCCATTTTTCTTATAATGTAAAAAAACTCAACAAAATTTAACCATACATTTTCTTTCTATAGTTCTTGCAACGATAGCTTTTGCTTTTCTTCTTCTCCCGATGTGCCAGTATTTAACAAGACCCTGTTCACCTCAGAACAAGTAAGGACGTGGGATTTTCCTCCAAATTATGAACTTGTATATGTTTTTCTCTCATATTTGAAGGCAGGATTCGAAGTCTACGTTTCTGGTATTGACTGGATCACACAATGCCAGAAAAGTGGAAGATAGTACTTCCTTTTTCACCTTTTCATAGCAGAGGAAACAGACAAATCTTAGGAGAGTAGAATCATTATAATATGCTTCCTGCTCAGATTATCAAAAGATGAGAAGTTTTCTTTTGAAGCAGTGCTTTCATTCCTTTACTGTTGAGATAATGGAATATGAAAACTGTGACTGACTCAGACATTCTTTGCCTTTCATCTTTGGTGACATACAATATAGGCTAGTCACTTAGGCTTAATCCCAATGTTCACATCTTAACTCCTAAAACTGTTGCTCCATGGAAACAAAATGCTAATGGAGATGCTATACGAACTTAGGAAACCAGTCACTTGGGGCAGCTGATTTTCCCAGGAATTAGTGATAACCACATAGATTTACTATTTTACAAATATTCACCTTTGCTAAATGATTAACTTCTTCATCTTTTTTTCATAAGAATAGAATTTCTCCTATGCTTAGAATCTTCAAAGATTGATATTATCTCTTTAAACTTCTAAACACCCATGTTGGTAATTTGGGGAAAAAAGCATTATCAATGGGTATAGAAGTATTATCCTCTGAGTTCTTTGTAGTTTACTCCAAAGAGGATAGGGTATTTTGGATTTCCAGGTATCTGGGTATTACCTGTTATTCTAATCTGGCCCTAATGATCACTAATCATGAAGAACAAGAGGAGAGTTTGGTTATTGAATAAAATTTATTGCCCATTAGCCCATTAATGTCATGTGTTTTCCAGGATTTCTTTTGGTTGCTGTGGGCGTTTCACTGCTGCCGAGCTACTATCATTCTCCTTGTCTGTCATGCTCGTCCTCATCTGGGTTCTCACTGGCCACTGGCTTCTCATGGATGGTGAGTAACATGTGACAAGCTGAAATTCTAATATAGTTTATAGATAGTTAAGTTTGTCCTCTCTTCCTTTACTGTTAGTAGTACTACCTCTGATTATCATCGAATTTTAGGTATCCAATATGTATCATTGGGTTTATCTTTGCTACATGGTATGTATCATTGAGTAATGAGTCGTTTTGAGCTATAATTCACATATTGTACAGTTTACCTATTTAAAGTATATAATTCATTAGTTTTTAATACATTCACTAAATAGAGTTGTGCACCTATCACTAACAATAAATTTTAGAGCATTTTCATCACGCACCGTCTAAAACTCATACCATTAGCCATCACTTCCCCATTCCCCCCAACCAACCAAGGCCCAGTCATTCATTAATCTAGTTTCTGTCTCTGTGAATTTGCCTCTTCTGGACAATGCAAAACCAAGGATGCCCTGCTTATGGTCAAATTGTATAGAATTTAACAAAAAAAGCATTTTAAACTGTATTTTTTTTCCATGTTCCAGAATAAGTTAATACAGTCTTAAGGAAGAAGAAATTTTAAACCCTAACGAAAACTAAAAACTTAGCCTTCTGTTTCAAGGGATTTTTTTTTCTCATAAGTTACTTTAACCAGTATAAGGATTTGAAATTTCTGTGTACCAAATTAATTAGTGGAAAAACTCTAAGAAGCCGAATATTATCAGGGAACCAACTATAGAGTGAATTGCGAGCTCCATAAAATTATATATGGCGTATGTTGTTTTAATCAAAGGTGATAATTACAGAAAAAGCATAGAAAACACATGATATTTTTAAATATATTTTTGGCTTAAGATAAAATTATAATGAAAAGATCAGTGGTTGCCAGCAGTTATGTGGGGAAGGTGTGACTATGAAGAAAGCACCTTCATAGTGCCGTATGCTGAGTGTCATGGTGGCTCTACAAATCTGTGTATGTGTTAGAATCCATAGAACTGTACATCTAAAGAACAACTGAATTTTACTGTTTGATGATCTTGAAAGTGTTAAACATATTTATAATTGTTTAAATATGTCATTTATTTGTATATGTCTTATATTTTTTGTCATAGTTGTTCAGTGCTTTTTTCTTCTTGAGTGCCTATCATATACCAAGTATTGAAACTCAAAAGCATTTTCTTGACATTACAGAGTGTTTCCCTCTAGACTTACATACGTACTTGAATGGGAAGGCAGAGTCAAAATCACCAGTGCCTGGTCCGTGCAGCGATTCACCTTTGCTGATTTCTGACAACCTTGGTCTCTTTTTAACAATATACATTGCCTTCAGAAAACGTTTACTGTGATCATTTGCTTCAGCACCTGAGTGCCCATTGTGCACATAAGCATTCTGAAGTACACTATTAGAATTTTTACGTGGTTGTCAGAACTGCTAAGTTTTGCAAGTCTAGTATCAGTGCTTTCACTATTCTTATGGATTGGTGTTTGCTATTTCAGTGCTTCTGGAGGTACATAAAGAGTAAGTTGAGAAAAAGACATTACATCCAAAGTCACACACGTAGCTTGCCTGGCTCACAGTAGAAGGGTAATGCCTGTCTTATATATACTTGGTATTAAGAGTGATAAAGTGGGATATGTGTGCATTTGACTGTTCCTGAGATTAACTCTTGATTTCTGCAGAAGAATGATTTAACTAAAAGTAGTACATGTATAAGTCGAGTGCACTTAACCCCACCTACACAAATGTTACGTGAAGTGAGACAGTGAAAGCTCCAGGTGTTACTGCTTTGACTAAATATAAAGCAGTGGTCACCTAACGTGGACTGATAGGTCTTGATGCTAGCAGCCTCAGAGTCCAATATGATGACAAGTGATGCTTAAAGTACCGTGAAGTCTCTCAGCCCCTGGGTGGTCTGAGGTTCTGTTATCCTACTAGTAGTGGCTCTGCTTTCATGGAACTCTGTTCATGTGTCCAGACACTCATACCATTTATAGGCTTTGCTAAGGGTTTTAAGCTTACCAAACTGCCGACCCAAAAAAGATCAGATATCTCTCAAAACGGCAGGCAATCTGTTCTTTGTTTATACTATCATCTCTACCCCACCAGAGCATTGCATAAAACAGAAGAATACTCATTTACTAGTAATATGTCACTAAGAAAGAAATGGTTGGCACAAAGGAAGATGACATTCTTTTCAAGATAAACTGATTTACACAGCCATCTGAAACATTTTAGAGCAAGTCGGCAGAACTTTCTCTGTTGTACTTCTACAGGAAGCGGGTGGGAATATGCTTGTTAGACTCACTAAAGGGAGAACAGGGTGAGCAGCTTTTCGTAAGATGTGCTGAAGGGGGCATTCCACCATGGAATTCTTTTCCTCTAGAGTCGATAGAAAATTGGCCATAAAAGATAAACTATTTCCCCAGGGACCACTGTCAGAAATACATTTCCATTGTGAAATTCACTTAATAGTTGAAATTTTTTTTGAGTGTTCAGTTGAGGCTCCCATAAACCCTATCTGGCCCTAACTAGTAGACTTTTTCATCATTTTCTATCATCATTGCTATTTCCCAATATTTACTTACCCAGGGATCTCTTCTTTATGCTAGTTTGTGACCAAGAATAGTTTTCCTTCAAAATAAAAAAGAGCCTTTGAGCTTTTAAATTTTTTCTTAGATTAGTGATTGATGTGTTTAACTTGTTTTCTGCTATTACAGAAAATGTATATTTCTAGCCACGATCTTTAAAAAGTTCTGAAATGATGTTCTTTTCTGACATGGGAATTGTCTTTCCAGATTTCTCTACAGAATCAGAAATCTTGCTGGCAGTGATAATTTGGTAGTATTTAAATTAGTGTTTTTTAATTAAAGCCTGTTCTTTGAAATTAGAGTGAAAACAAAATGATAAATGTGGTTGTTTTAGGGCTAGGCATGAAGTATATTTTATATTTTCAGGGTTATACTAAGAAGCATTAATATTAAGAAGGAACTTCAGAGTTTTCTTGAGCTAAATGTAGAGCTCTTTTTAATCTACTGTTTAATCTGGCAAATTAATCTTTTAAATTTGAGAAAGCTTGAATGAATTTGACCAACAGGTGGTGTGGTATGTTAGCTAGAAGCCAATAAATCTGTGCACACACACCTGGTGTTTAAGGATCATTGAAGCAGTTTCACAGTCTGCATCCCCTGACCTGTTCAGGGACTAGAAGAGTCTTGACAGATAGTCTAGTTCACCCCCTCATTGTATAGCACTTGCTACTAAGCTACGATTAGAAAATGTTCAGTGCCAGAAATCTAGCAATTGATTTTTCTTGTTTTAAAATGCTAGACTCTGGCACTTAGTCCACATGGGGCTTAGCTATCCAGAGATCCTTTATCTTAGAAGCCAGCGCTGCTTAAGAGCTTACAGGTTACGTAATCCTTTTCAAGAACATTTTAGCTCAGTTTGCTATCATTGCCTTCGTCCCTGGCCTTACTGGTTATGGAAGACAAGGTGATACAGAAATTATATCAATAATATATTGAAAGTAATTATAGCTAAATGGCTAAGATTAATAATTTACTTCCCTAACACTGTTGCTTAATTTACATTTAACCAAAGGCTAAGTTTGTTGGTAAAGCTATTAGAGAGAGTCTTGGGAGTTTCTCAAGCAACATGGAGTGAGGGAAGGTAATCTCCTGTCTTTGTTTTGGCTTGGAAAATGCCCTTAGGAGAGGGTAAGATTTTTCATGGTTACTTGAATGAAAAAATGAAGAAAAAGAGAGGCAGACTAGATGAGTATTGAGTGTGTTTCGGGGATAGCTGTGGCAATATTCATTTGGGGGTAGGAGTGATATTCGTTCAGCAGACTTATATTAAAAATCTTCTCTGAGATAGTTAAAAGAGGTGCATTCTGCATCTTCATACATAGAACTTCACGTACAGACTTGGATGGCATGGAACAAACGGAGATTCTGAGGCCAAGCCCATGTGGCACAGCACTGTTCTGTGAGTTGTGCCCAAGGATGTGTGACTTTATAATAGACTTGATCCATCACAGAGTAGGCAACCTAGTGACCTTAAGGCAGGAAATGATGTGAACTGATCTTTTTTATAATGGTGGTGAAGAGTAAGTGGAAGAAAGTGGGAAAAGACACACAGCAAACTGGGAAGTGGAGGGAAGTTGTGACCAAGGAGTACAGTAATAATAGAGTGGCACCCAAAATGGCTGCTGCACACTGAGCGTACACACTGAAAGACTGTGATAAATTGAAAATGAACCCAGGGTTTCATTTCTGGGTTCATCTTTCATGTCCGGAAGATTTGGGATAGAGTGACATTGTCTAGAATTATGGAAAATTCTGTCAGTGAGCAGTTCTGTCTTATCCATGTTTGGTTTCAACCCAGGTGGGGTAGGATTAGCATAAGTGACAAAGCAGTAAGTGGATGTTTAGACTATGTGACCTGTAAAGGCTCCAGCTGTTTTAGGATCAAGTGAATGTATGGTAAATAGAAAAGTCCTGGAATGGACCCGTCACCTGCACGTGTGAGGTGCGCATATACATTTAACCTCGGACGCCTGCCCTTTTGCCTCTTCACTGTCATCAGTTGGTCCTCTGACCCTCACTGCCCACACACTCCTGTCTCTGTCCACCTTAGGCCTTCATTTTTTACTTTGTTCCTGTGATGTTTTGCACTCCATGTATTCATTTGGAAGTTCCCGAACAGATTACCTCTCGCCACCCTCTCCTGTCACCCACCCAGCACTTCTGCCCAAACATGGATTTGACCTGTTCTCTGGTCATCAGTTCCCAGGGACTTCCCACCCTCCACTGACCACTGTTGTTCTTGGAGCCAGCTTAGCTTATACCTGCCAGTGTGTTTCTTTATTCACAATAGAGCCAAATATTTTTTTCCTAAGATTATAATGGGCAGTTCCGTTATATAAAACTGGGTGTGGTCTGATTATATCATGAGCCTTAAATATAACTCTTACTTAATGCCTTAACCGTCATATTTCAGTCATCCCTTTGTACCTTGAAATGTTTCAATCTTTGCAAAGCCTAATTGACCCTAACTAATTAATACAGTTCATTTGAAATGACATGAATTTGCATATACTTTACCAGTTTGGTTATGTTTTTATAAATTGATTTAAAAAATTAAGACCCTAGCAAAATGAGCATCCTAGATTATTATAAAGTCAGGAATTATGTCTTTACCACATCTTACCAAAATACTCGAGCTCAGTGGATGCTTGGTAACAAAAATGACAGGAGGAATAAAGAATTTGTTCTTCCTAATTTTACTGCTGTCTTTCCAACTCTTCTCTGTTGTAGGGATGGGAATTATTTTTCTCCTCTTTCGTTTATGCAACACCATGCCCACAGTAGGAACTTGTGAAATATTAGTTGAATTGGTACGTCCAGGGCGTGCCAAACTGCTGTGCAGGCAGACCTTGTTTTATTATGCTTTGCTTTATTGAGCTTCACAGATGTTGCATTTTTTTTACTAATTGAAGGCAAGACCCCCACGCCAGCAAAAGGAATGTGATTTACTTTATTGTGATACTCGTTTTATTATGGTGGAAACACACCCATAATATCTCTGAGCTATGCCTGTATTTGGCCACTTTGTTACATATATTGACAATCAAGTAATTTTGTTAAAATGGTATATATCTGTAATGTGGCTTTACTTTAGAATAATTTGAAATGTGAAGTTGATAGAACAATTTTTCATTCATTCAGCAAATATTTATTGAATGTCTGCTCTGTTAGGTGTTGGGGATCCACAGAAAGAGTAAGCCATGGTTTCTGTCTACTATGAGCACCTCATTTAGGAAATAAACTACTTGTACATAAGTAATCACACTATTAAAGAATGGATAAAGGAGAGATTTAAAGTTCTGTTGCATCACAAAGGAAAAAGAACAACTTAATCTGACTAGGTCAAGAAAGACTCCTTGAGGAAGAGCTTTTTGACCTGTCTCTTTAAGAAAGAGGATGCATTTTCCAGGAGAAGAAACCCAGGGCAGGGCCTGCAGTGCAGAGCGTAAAAGAACAGTAGGTGTTGAGAAGTGGCTACAGAACAGCCACAGGAAGCACACGCTGAAGGCAGGGGCTACACAGTGGAGAACGGCCTCCTGTCCCTTCCTGCCAGTGCCTGGCCAAGTTATTCCACTTTCATCCCACTTCAGCAAGAACCCACAGGAAGTTTGTAAGCAGCTGCATGGCCTGATCAGTCCTGTATTTTCAGAAGAATGGAGAAAGAGAGCTGAAGACAGGGAGAGACCATTCATCTGCCAGGCCTGTTCTAGACTCCAGGGGAACATGCCCGCAAGGACCTTACATTTTAGTTGAGAGAAAAAATGCATCGTATGTCACATTTTGAAAGCTGGTTTTTTGTTTGTTTTTTAAAGGCAAGGATAGAGAAAAATGAATTGCTGGAAGTGTCCCTGAATAAATGAAAGAGGATATGATCTAAGGTGTGAGTTAACTTTAAAGGAGCAAGAATGATGCATCCACAGTAATGAGGGGAGGCAGGGAACAACTAGGAGGTCCCAAACTGAGCCTGGCTTGGAGCTCTATCAAAATAGAGAATCTCTTGGGTCTTGTACAGTTGAACACAACTGTAGTGTGAGAAAAGGGATTTTCCCCAAATACCGGCAGGTCAAAATGGGTAAAGTGGGCACTTGACACAATAGAGTGTACATGGCTTAGACTGGGGATTTGGGCTTCTTGAGGTTTGAGGGGACTCACAACTTTGTTATGTTTATGAGCTGAATAGCTTGTGGAAAGAGCAGATGAGCCTATACTCCACACTGATTGCTGTCTCCTCCCCAGCGCTGGCCATGGGTCTCTGTGTTGCCATGATCGCCTTTGTCCGCCTGCCCAGCCTCAAGGTCTCCTGCCTGCTTCTCTCAGGGCTTCTAATCTATGATGTCTTCTGGGTAAGTTTGGGTTTCCCTAATGCCACTGCTGCCCTTTGTGTTTAATTGGAATCTGAGTATCCAAAGTCTGGCTGGCCAGAGCACCTCCCCTCTGAGACCACTCCCTCCAGCCCTGAGCTGTAAGTGTTAAAAAGATGAGCACGCAGCTAACTGTCCAAGCCTTTGTTTCTTACGATGTGTTACAGTAGATAGTCTGTATGTGGCTGTTAAGGTGGAAGAGGGAGCAGGCAGACAAGGTTCTTTGCCCGGAAGCAAAGCTTTTCTTTCCGCTCAAAGCATGCAATCGAAAAAACATGATGTTGCAGTATTCTGAGGCTCTGCTCTTAAGGACAGAGAGGGCTGACACTGAAATCAGGTTGCTTCCAGCTCCGTCTGTTAAAGGTGACTCTCCCCTCGGCAGGTGTTTTTCTCCGCCTACATCTTCAATAGCAACGTCATGGTGAAGGTGGCCACGCAGCCGGCTGACAATCCCCTTGATGTTCTTTCCCGGAAGCTCCACCTGGGGCCCAATGTTGGGCGTGATGTTCCTCGCCTGTCTCTGCCTGGAAAACTCGTGTTCCCAAGGTAGGCCTGGTGTGTTACACCTCATCGCATGACATTGAACACACTGGGCCTCTGTTTTTTCATTAGTCTGTCTTTGTCATCAACATTCTAATCTCAGACTGGAAAAGGCTGTGAGTCAGCATCTCCATCTTACGAATGAGGAAGAGAATATTGACTTGACTTACAAAGATTTATCACTAAGTGATCCAGGTGCTTTTTATTATTGATTGTTATCAAACAATCATGCGTTACTATTACCATATTTTAAAATTGGCTGGAAGGAATTAGGAGATTCTGGATCTTTTTACTTATAAGACATTTGTAAAAAGATGTCCTAATGCTAAAATTATACAGTCCCTGATAATGCAGTCTTGGAAAAATTAATGTGCTGCTTTAATCTCCCATGTCTGATAGTAGTCAGGTGCTTCTTTGAAGTCTCAGTGGTGATTGTGTGACAAATAGTGAATTGCTTGACATTTCTGAAGATAACCGTGCTTAAGCAGATCACTTGCAGTCGCCTAATAGGTGCACTGAGGGGCCGGGTTGAGGACCTCTATTACCAATATGCTTGTGGCTTTTAATCTCTAAACTCATTAAAAAAAATAGTATTGTTCAACCAGTAGAAATTTCCATCTACCGCTCAGATAAGGTCCTTGGCTTCTTAAAAAGCTGACAGACTTTGCACAGGAGGAGGAGAAATGGGATTGTAGAGTGTGGCATCTCTGACATATGACACTACATTTCAGCTCCACTGGCAGTCACTTCTCTATGTTGGGCATTGGAGACATTGTGATGCCCGGGCTCCTGTTGTGCTTTGTTCTTCGTTATGACAACTACAAAAAACAAGCCAATGGTGACTCCTGTGGTGCCTCTGGACCCGCCAACATCTCTGGACGCATGCAGAAGGTCTCCTACTTTCACTGCACCCTCATTGGATATTTTGTAGGTAAGCAAGAACCGGAAGCTACATGTGATCCCCTCTTTGGCTGTCCTCCGCCCCCTGGAATTAGACCTTCTAGCCACAGATGCTGGCTGGAAGGAGAGCAAGAACTGGTTGCTGTTATAAACAACCACAGAGAAAAAAATAATAATAAGGCCATGAGATGATAGATGCTCTCTGTACTGGCAGCCCACTTCCCTGTCCACCACTATGTCTGAAGAACACTGCAGTAAGAGTGGGGTTAGGTCTCAGAGTCAAGAACGCTCACCACATAATGATCATGGGTCAGTCTGTGGGCTTAATTAAATCTTCAACTTGAGTTTAATGAATTCATGTTTATTTCCTGCTTTTAAGACATATTTCTCTTTATTTGTTCTGACTCTCCCTAAGTTAGTTTTTCTCTGGTGAGCTCATTTCTAGGCAGACAGGAAGAGATGGTTGTCATTGGGCTCGGAATAGCGGTAACGTGCCTGTACCTATGATGGCTACAGCAGAGTGAGCCAAAAGGAACACCTCTGTGCCGCCGCCTCAGCACTTTCATATTCATGGGTTCGTTTCAGTCCAGAAACTCTGAGGGACAGGACAAATGGTGTTAGCCGCAGGCTCCAAGAGGTAAAACGCCTAAACCAAGGTTACACAGGTCTTAGAAGTAGCAGAGTTGGAACTTAAACCCAGGTCTTTTGCCTCCAAGTCCGACATCACAGGCGACAGGGAGACCAGGCACACTGAGTGCTGAAGTAAGGGCTCGAACCTGAGCACGAGGTGAATCTTGGGCCAGTCACCGGTCCTTGCAATTCTAGGTTCTTTTAAGCTGTGCTGTTCCATGTTTCTTTAACTTCTCAATCTGGGTATTTCATACCTAAATGTTGGATGAAATATGTCATGTTAGATCTATACAGTTTCAAGACTGCCAATATGCATCCAGGTAACAGAGGTTCTCTCTCCTTATAGGTCTCCTCACTGCTACTGTGGCATCTCGCATTCACCGAGCAGCCCAGCCTGCCCTTCTCTATTTGGTGCCATTTACTTTATTGCCACTCCTCACAATGGCCTATTTAAAGGTGAGAGAAGCAGTTACAAACCTGTGAAAGCAATAACTTGGCTTTGATCCTGGACTTGGCTGTGTATTCTACTTGCTGGAGGTGTTTCTGCTTAAGCTCCTGAGGTCTTAACAGTAGGATTTTATTCTTTTGTTTTACTAACCTGATATTAGCAACCTTTTCCAGATTCTTGCAGCCAGTGGCAGAAAATGCTATGTTGAGTTAGATCACTACACCACCTGCTCTTGGAAAGTTAACTGAAATCCCTAGAGCCCAGGTGCAGAGGCTTCTTGCTCTTAAAAGCAGCACCTTGTTGCTACCTAACAGCTCTTTTAATGCTCTGCATTAAAGTTTAGAAATAGGAGCAAGGAGAAACAACATGGTGTCACTACACCCACCTGGCCTCCCCTGCAGGCTAGTGCCATAAGTGCCTGCTCGGCTCCAAGTGGCTGCCTGGCACATAAAGCCTGCACAGAGGTCTTTCCTACATGGGACCACTTACGGTACAAACCATAAGAGACGCTAGGGAAGACTGGAGAGCAGCGGGAGTTCTCTGGAGTCTGAGGGGCCAGTGAATGCCATTGTTTACATCCCCCACCCCACCTTCACGGAGTGGGGCGCGTGTTAGGCCTGCCTGCACAGTCTTGACAGTGTGTTCCCAGACACATTGCTCAAGCCCATTTCTGCCTTAACAAAGGGAACTGCAACGCATTGTTACACACAGCTGACCTCCCCTCCTGGCTCAATAGGCCAGCACCCCCTCGGATCCTACTGTCCTGCCAAAACCACCGTGCATATAGTCCACACAGGGCCTGCTTCTACATAAAGCCACTTTACTGAGACTAGAAGGATTCATACAAACATAGAAAGCCAAACAAAATGAAAAGAGAAGACTATCTCTCAAGTGAATAAGAAAAAATACCTGTGGAAATGGAAATAATTTGCCTGATAAAGAATTCAAAGAAACAATCATAAGGATCTTCACCAAACTTGAGAGTAGAATAGAGAACTTTGGGAGGACTTCAATGAAGAGAAAGAACCAAGCAGACCTGAAAAAAACATGTTAGAGGAAATCATCCTGAGATTAACGCAGAGGAAAGACTAGTGGTAATCAATGCGGCAGAAAATTTTTTTTTAAATGAGGATAATTTAAGGAACCTCTGGGATAACATCAATTGCTTAAATATTTGCATTATAAGGACCCCAGAAGGAGAAAAGAACAGAAACTTTAAAGAAATAGTAGCTAAAAATTTTTCTCAACCAAGGGAAAGAAACAGACATCCAGATCCAGGAAGCACAGAGCCTTCCAAACAAGATGAACCCAAAGAGACCCACACCAAGGTGTAGTCTACTTAAAATGGCAAAAGTTGAGAATCTCAAAGCAAGAGGAAAACGAGTTACGAAGGAAACCCTATGAGGCTATCAGCTGATTTCTCAGCAGCTTTACAGGCCAGCAGCGAGTGGCAGGACTTCTTTAAAGTGCTGAAGAAAAGGAACCTACAACCTAGAATAATTTACTCAGCAAGGTTATCATTCAGAATTGAAAGAGATAGAAAAGTTTCCTGGACAGGCAAAAACTAAGAGACTTCATCACCATTAAATAAGCTTTACAAGGGATGTTAAAGGGCCTTTAATTAGAAAAGGAAAGGCCACAACCCAAAATAACAAAATATGAGTCAGGAAAACCTCACAGGTAAAGCCAAATATTCAATAAATACAGCAGAGTATCGAACTCAAACTATAATAAGTAGTAGAAGATACACAACACAAACATCTAAAATATGACATCAAGAACATAAAGCATGGAGAGGGGAGTAAAAATGTAGTCTTTGTAGAATATATTCAAACTTAAAACACCTGTCAGCTTAAAATAGACTGCTAAAGATAAAAATAGTGACATACATAAACCTCATGGTAACCACAAACCAAAAACCTACAAAAGATACATAGAACACAGAAAAAGGAACCTAAACAAAACACTAAAAACAGACAGCAAGGGAAGAGATGAAGAAAGGAACAGGGGACAACTATAAAAACAACAAAATGGCAATAACTACATACCTATCAATAATTACTTTAAATGGATTAAATGGTCCAATAAAAAGAACACAGGGTTACTGAATGGATTTAGAAACATGCTGCTTACAAGAGACTTCAAATCAAAAGACATAGACTGAAAGTGAAGGGATGAAAAAAGATATTCCATGCAAGTAGAAATAAAAAGCTGGAGGAGCAATATTTATATTAGACAAATCGACTTTAAAACAAAAAATGTAAAAAAAGACAACATTAAATGATTATAAAGGAGTCAATCCGAGAAGAGGATATAACAATCATAACTATGCACTCAACATAGGAGAACCTAAATATATAAAGTAACCTTTAATGGACATAAAGGGAGAAATCAGAAAACAAGGTTAATATACTCAGTGGTGAAAGGCTTTCTAAGATCAGGACAAGATGCCCACTGTCACTACTTCTATTCAACGTGGTATTGGAAGCCCTAACCACGGCAGTCAGACAAAACTAAAGAATTAATAGGCATCCAAATTGGAAAGGAAGAAATAAAATTATTACTTACAAGTGCCTTGATACTATATATAATAAACTCTAAAGACTCCACCAAAAAACTTAGAATAAATGACTTTAGTAAGGTTTGCAGGATAAGAAATCCGTTGCATTTCTATACACCAGTAACATGATCAGAAGAAATTAAGTCCCATTTACATTTGCATCAAAAAGTATAAAATACCTAGGAATAAATTTAACCAAAGAAGTGAAAGACTTGTACTCTGAAAACCATAAAACATTGAAGAAAAAATTGAACAAGATACAAATAAATGCAAGGATATACCATGCTCACAAATTGGAAGGATTAATATTGTTAAAATGTCCTTATTATCTAAATATGCAGATTCAATGCAGTCCCTATCAAAGTGTCAAAGGCATTATTCTCAGAATTAGAATTAATTCTAAAATTTATATGGAATCACAAAAAACCTTGAATAGCTAAAGAAATCTTGATAAAGAATAGAGTGGGCAATATCATGCTCCCTGATATTGAACTATGCACTACAAAGGTACAATAATCAAAACAGGATGGTACTAGCATTAAAATAAAAAAAATTCTCTATATATGTATGTATGTATCAATGGAATACGGAGCTCAGATATAAATTCCCACTGATATGGTCTGTGAGTCAACAACAAAGGAGGCAGGAATATATAGTGGGACAAAAACAGTCTCTTCAATAAGTGGTATTGGCAAAACTGGACAAATAAATGCAAAAGAAGAAATTGGACCACTTACTTAAACCAAAAACAAAAATAAACTCAAATATATTAAAGATTTAAATGTTAGACATGAAACCACAAAACTCCTAGAAGAAACAGGCAGTAAATTCTTTGACATCACTCTTAGCAGTATCTTTTTTGATGTATCTCCTCAAGCAAGGGAAACAAAAAACAAACCAGATGTGACTACAAACTAAAGTTTTTGTACAGTGAAGGAAGCCATCAACAAAACGAACAGACAGCCTACTGAATGGGAGAAGATATTCACCAGTGATAACATTTGATAAGGGGTTAATATCCGAAATATATAAAAAACTCATACAACTTAACACCAAATAAACAATCCATAAAAATTGGGCAGACCTAAATAGACATTTCTTCCAAGAGGTCATAGAGATCGCCAACAGACATAGGAAAAGATGTTCAACATCACTAATCAAGGAAATACATATTAAACCACAATATCGCCTCAAAGCTATCAGAATGGCTGTCATCAATAAATACCAAGTGCTGGCAAGAATGTGGAAAAATGGGAACCCTCCTACACTGTTGGTGGGAATGTAATTAGTGCAGCCACTGCGGAAAACAGTATGGAGATTCCTCAAAAAATTAAAAATAGAGCTGCCATACGATCTAGCAATTTCACTTCTGTGCATTTATCTGAAGAAAACCAAAACATTAATTTGAAAAGATACATGCACCTCTATGGTCATTGCAGCATTTCTAGTAATAACCAAGATATGAAAGCAACCTAGGTGTCCATCAGTAGATGAATAAAGAAGTGGTATACACACACACATGAATATTATTCAGCAAAAAACAAGTCTTGCCATTTGTAACAACATGGGTGGACCTAGAGGGTATTATGTTAAGTGAAACAAGTCATAAAGACAAATACCATACAATCTCACTCATATGTGGAATCTAAAGTGAATACACAAATTTTAGAATTAGGATATGATTAAAAACTAGATTTAGAGCATTATCTTATTTACAAGATTTCTGTTATCCCTATTTTACAGATGAACAGACACAGAAGTTAATTTATCTAGATCGTCTGACTCATACTTAACTATATACTAGAACTTATACTAGGATACAGTTGGTAAAAAGCCCTTCCATACCAAAGGGGCCTATAAGAATTCTTCTAGTGACTTCTTCAAAGAATGGCGGGTTACTTTTCAGTGAACCATTTGAATATTGATTCTCCACCAAAGCAATCTGAGATCAGGAATCAGAACAGACTTGTAGGTATGTGTGCCTCGTGTTTAAACCTGTAACTTAGTAAAGTTCCTTCTTTCCCAGGGTGACTTACGGCGGATGTGGTCTGAGCCGTTCCACTCCAAGTCCAGCAGCTCCCGGTTCCTGGAAGTATGATGGATCACGGAGTGACCAGAATGGCCATCTTAGTCCTTTTCTGTCAACGCGTGGTTTTGTTTCCTCTTAGAGTTGGCCTGGTACTCAGAGATGTACCTGTTTAAGGAACTGATGTGGGACTGGATTTTGCGTTTGCAGGGAGCGAGGTGCTGGAGCCCTGCTTGGTTCCTTCTCTTCCTGACATAGAGGTGGAGCCCTTCCTGACGTGACAGGCCCTCCCAGCACTCCTTCCTCCCCCGTTTTTATGGATCTGCACCGGACTCTTACTGTGGGGGATGGAGATGTGACTGTTTAAAACTGACAACAGCAAGGAGTCGTTCTGTACCTTTCAACACTAAAAGGATGAAAACATGAGCAAACCGAAGGTTCTTCAGCGAACCCACCAGAACTTTGGGACCAGTTTCCTATGGAGGACTCAGTTTCAGAGAACTGAGACAGAAGCTCTTCTGTCGTTATATTCTTCTTTCCTTTTTTTGGATTTATTAAATATTTTCTGTGGTGTGAAGTGACTTATTAAATCCACAGACATTGAGTGACTTCTTACAGCATACACATAAGAACCGTAAGAGTTCATGTCCACCCAGATGTTGTGTTGGCAGTGAACGAGGGCACGGTTTTTATACATACGCGCGCGCACATATATATATGAATAAACAAAAATTAAAATCTGCTAAGATCATGCTGTGTAGCAGACAGGGGCTTGCTGTAATTGTTAGCATGTAGAGCCGTTTACTCTGGCTTTCTTGTATATGGATAAGCTGCTGTCTTTCCCTCCACAACCGAACGTGCAGTTAAAAACCAGTATAGTATTTGTACTGATATACTCATGGACTTTAGGGGACTCTCATTTGGTTTTGATCAGTGTAGCAAATTAGGGATGAAAAGGTAAAACTTTTTGGCCCTTTTTTTGTTTTTACAGGCTTCTCCCTTGCAGGATTTTAGTACTTTCTTCTGAACCGATGCATGTATTATAGCAGCAGATGTCTTTGTGCTTTCTGATCATAGTAATGTACTACTTGTAAATACATATTTCTATTTTCTATTTTTTTGTATTTTTTTTTTTTTTGGCATTTTGTTTCATTGATGTGCTGTATTTTCCATGCCCTCACTCCTTTAAGAAAAAAAAGGAAAAAACAATTGTCCTTGCTGTTGTGATTATAGTCTTGGTTTACCTGTGGTGACAACTGGGTATTGGGAACAAATGTCAGGTGCCCCTGTGAGATACGCCCTACATTCCAGGAATTGCGGAAAGAGCGAGCTGCTCTGGGCCCTTAGGGCCTGACGTGGGCCATGGGCCGTGCTGGAGAGCCAGCCTCTGGCAGTAACGAGTGTGAGTGATCTCCACTGGCCCTGTCCAAACGGCCTCCACCCGCTAAGAACTTGCCCACTGCTGGGAGGCACAGAAGCCTAGAACTGGCCTGCACACCCGACAGCAGAGGTTGGCGGAGGGCCCGTGCCCTGGCTTCTTTCTCCCATGAGCAGGTGACCCGCCTGTCTTGACCTGTGTGGTCACGTGTGCTGTGGTTGCCACACTCGAAGGCACAGTGTATAGAGCTCTCATGGTGAAGCGGTCAGGATGGTGCGTTCCTCTGTTGTGTCTTCAAATCCTGCTGGGGGCTATTTTGTTTTTTGTTTTGTTGTTTTTTTTAATAAATGACTCCTTTCTAGCCTTTGTCACCTCATCTTCACTTTCTGTTGTTGGTACCAAACAGAGCTCCTACCTGTTCCGCCTGTTCCAGAAGACAGATGGGAAGACTGTCCGTCCCCAGGCAGGGTCCACTGCAGCTCTGGGTCAGTCGTACAGGTGGAAAAGAACTGAAGTCTCTGTCGTCCACGGCACTCAAACGGCCTCCAGATGTGGTGACCCAAGGGGGCTGTGCACTCCCTGCTCCTTCGCCCTTCTCCCTTCTTGGCCCTGGGGATGCCTGCAGCACCGGGTTGGAGGCGGGGGAGTCCTCCAAAACGACTCTGATTAAGGGCAAGTGCCAACGACTGTTAGAAATACTATTCTGGCAGTTGGTCATTCCAGTTTTTCTAATACCAAGTTCCAGACAGAAGGAATGTAATTTTTTGTTAAGCTCACTTCCATGCCGGTTCAGGGAGGTAGAATGCCCACACACAGACCCCTGAATGTAATTTGCATTCCAGTTGCTAGTCTTCAAAGCCCTTAAACTTTTGCAAAGGAACTGCAAATACTCATTTTAAATGAATACTAGAGTATCCTGTTCTGGAAGCAGTACCCTTTGGATTGGGGGTGGGGGGACCGCAGCTAAAGCGCATGCTCTCATTCCCACCCCCCCACTGTCTCCCCCTCCCCCTGCCTGATATACTGTGTCCTCCTCTTTTCCTGGTTTCTCAGGTACTCTGAGTTTGGTTTTTCTAGGAGGTCTTTTGCATTAGGCAAGGCGTGTACAAAGTTCTGGCAGGGACCCCCTTCCTCACTGGTCTGAGGTTCTTCCCCCAAAGAGACTGCATGTCAAAACTCACAGTAACTTCTTTCTAACCTGAGCTAATGAGGATATTGACACCAAAGTTTATCCAACGCCTTGCATGTTCCATTAGTGTTATTCTAGCTTTTTCTGGATAAGAGAGCTATATAGCTTCCTGTGTAGGAACAGTTCAAACTGGAACTGGGAGGATTGGGGCGGGGCCTTTGTAGCCCGCCAGCAGAGGCCTTGGCTAGTTCGGCAGGTAAGTGACGTTAGCCTCAAGAAAAACAAAAGGACCAGTTCTCTGTAAAGGCGGAGGGAAGGAAGGCAGTTCTGTTTTGCCAATAAAGTGTTGAAAACAGAATCTGCCGTGTCTGCATGGCAGCGCTCATTGCCAGCCAGATCTGGTGTTGCATGCAGACACTGGGGTTTTGTGAAGCCTAACATTTACGTCAGAGCCTCGGAATGCAGCACTTCTGTATGTACACGAAGCGCGCCC